AAAAAAAAAAAAAAAAAAAAAAAAAAAAAAAAAAAAAAAAGTGGGATTCATTACAGGCAAAATGTTTTCGTTTTAAATGTGCTATAGTCATGCTAGTGAACAAAGCAGAGTGTATGAGCCCATTTACACCTGGTACTGAGAGCTGTACCAAGTGATTCGATCACAAGCAGTCTGTGCTAAATACAGGGTCCAAAACATGTAGTGATTTCCCCTCCCCGCTTTAAGCATCACAATTGTGGCTAGAATTCAAGTACATTTGGGAGAAACAGTACAGCTTTTTTTTTTTTGCTCATTCCATTGAAGTTTTTTCTTCCACTTTATGAGCATGCAATAAGTGATATCATGTGTGTTCTTTGACCAGATGTGACACTACCATCTATCTTAGTTATCTGAGTAAATACCAGGTGTAAACAGGGTCTATCATTGGTCATCTGGTAATCTTTACACTCTCAATAAAACATTGCTTTAAGATGAGTAAGAAATACCTTTCTAGGGTGGCTACAGTAATTGACACAGCGGGAGAGATAAACAGATATAACCGCTTACACACCATCACATGAAGAAGCCAACTGTGTCAAGCCATGGCTACTGGTAATATTTAGACAGAGGCGTTTAATCAGAGCCACAGATGAGCTGACTGATTACACAATTACATCTCAGGGAACTTTCACTACACTTCACCTTGCCAGGCACCATTACACTGATCCATAATGGTCATTTAGCACAACAGCTGCTACACAACTGAAGAAGATACTTAGTGGTTCCCCACCAGTTCCTTGTGCTCAAATCATGCATAAAAAAAGAAAAGGAGTGAGATAATAATAGGAGGACACCAGGTGAACAACAGAGCAAAGGAAGACAGAAATGGTGGAAGTTAATAGCAGCTCATTAAGTCTCACTCACTTGTTCTTTTTCACCGTCGTAGTAATCGAGTGCTAAACCTGCAATGAGAAAATGAAATCATCATCAGTTCTGGTATGACATGATCAGTTGTTATGAAAATGATTCATGCTATATGACCATTATTGTACCATAGTATTTTGTAAGTGTTTGTAAACATATGTTGATTAACTTTCTGTGCCTTGTGATAAATAGTTAAAAAGAATCAATCTGTAAATAGATTATTTCTGAGGTGTAACAGATGAGGAAGATATGGGAATTAAAAGCAGGTATCATACCGATGAGTTTGAGCGTGAGGACACAGTGAGGCATGGTCCACTTGATATCATACTCCTCAGTAGCTGTGTAGTAATAACCCATCAACAGATATATCTGCCACACACAAACACAAAAAATACCTTCAGGTTCTGTTGAGATTAAAACAGTAAAGTCAATGTCTGAGGTTACAGCGACCCTAAAGATATTCTTGTGTTAACCTTATAATTAAGCTCTTATTTTCCCTTCACATTCTTTTAGGTTCTTCTGACCTAATCAAAACTCAAGTGGCACATATTATTAGATCTTTATCACTCTGTTTTACCACAGTAGACATGCACTTTTCAGAAATGTGACTGCTAGACATTCCAGTAATGTTGTTTCTGCTTGGGTCAATTCGACCTCAGCAAAAACAAGGCAGGAAAACCAAAATAGCAAACTGGCACGAGTACACCAGTCAGAAAATCTCATCATGCGAATTTAATCATGTTTAATGACCCCAACATAAAAAAATAGCATTTTTCATGGAGGATGGCTGAAGCTTCACTGCAAGGAAAAAAAACTCACTAAGTATAAATCTGATACTTCAATGTTAAGCATGTTTTAACTATTAAAATGAGGGTTAAATACATGATCCAATAGGGTACTGATAAGCTTGCAACATTTCATGCACAAGATCACGTCAAGAGCACAAAAACAGATAAAGAGATAGTGTGTGAATGTGTGCGTTTTCTCACCATCTGAAAGATAAAGCTACTCAAAACGCATGTGACTGTCCTTCCCATCAGCCTCAGCAACAAGAACTGAATGACTACACATAAGAGGGAGTGACAGACCTGAGACCCTGAGAGAAGGACATGGAGAGATGGTGTTAATGCATTCCAGTACTAGCTGACCATGAGATTACAATATAACACTTTATCAACAATGTGGAGAACCAGAATTGAACAGGATACTTCTGCCAAAATGACAGCTCTGCTATCATTTACTCAACCTCACGTCATTTCAAACCAGCATGATTTTCTGTCTTCTGTGGATCACAAAAGGAGATTTTTTTTAATTGAATGAGTGATTACCTTTTTGAAGGTCTCTCTTTTCCACATAATGGAATCGAATGGGTACATATGTCAAACTCCAAAATAACAGACACCATTAAAAGCATAATAAAAGTGATATTTTCTAAGTCTATGAAAGTGCACTATAAGCTAAATTTTCTGAAATCATACGACAGTTTTGGTACAGAAAGAAATTTTAAACTTATTTACTGACTAATCAAATAAGGTATCTTTGACATTAAAGATATTTGCTCATGAGACACGTGAGGACCAATGGTGTTTGACGTGCTATTTTTTAAGTCTGTGTGACCTTTTTGAACACTGTAGAGCTTTGATGAAATGTTGAAGGGAAGATTTTCAGTGAAAAACTACGCAAATTTTGGCATGTTCATCGCACATACTGTATGACTTCATTATGACTGAAATATAGTTGTATGAACTACGTTTATGATACCTTAATAATATTCTGTGGTGCATTTCTTTGACATTTTGAAGCCTGTGAGACCCAGTTTCCATTTACATTCATTATATGGAATAAAAATAAAAAGCGACTGGGAGATTCTTTGAAAATTCTTCCTTTGTGATCTACGGAAGAAAACTCAAATGAGTTTGGAACAACATGACTGTAAGTGAATGACGCTGAGAAAGAGAATACTATCAATAGCTGAACTATCCCTTAAGATATGACAAAGAGAGAAAAAGTTTTGTTTTTATAAACAAGTCAGAATGATAAGACTCGATGAAAGAAAACACAAGTAAAATATCTCAGATAACGACAAAGAGAGACAGACCTGCTGTTAGATCCGAATGCAGCACAAAGAAATCAAATACACAGAATACAAGCACAAGTTAATTTTCACATTTCCCAACACAACACTCTTCGGTTTTCATTAGTTTGCTTTTCAACCTGCCACTCATATTCTTATAAACTACATTCTCACCACCAGGGGTTATCGCCATGGCAACAACACCCCATGGCTATCTGTCACAATCTTCTTTATATCAAAGCCACAGTCATCAGGAAATCATTACCACAGACTGCAGAGCAGTTAGTCAGGATACCCTTTATTTTCCACCATTATTCTCAAGGACACTAAATAGTCAATAACTTTACAGAGCATAATTCTACCTTCAGTGTTCAAACGAGAGAAAAATTATCCAAGAGGAAATATAAGCACTTTCATTAGACATCTAACATGTTACCATAAAAAATAAAGCTAAAAAGCCTTAATGCTATGTGTTTATTAACTTTATGAGTAATATATACTACTGTTCAAAAGACTTGGATCAGTATTTCTTTTCCTTTTTTGTTTGTTGTGTTTTGCTTTGAAAGGAACAAAAACTTTTTTTAATCAAGGATGTAAGGAAGTAAAAGTAAAAACTTTCACGTTGCTACAAAAAGATTTATATTTCAAGTAAATGCTGTTCTTTTGAACTTAATATTCATCAAAGAATCCTGAAAAAAATGTATGTTTCCACAAAAAAACAATAAGTAGCACGGCCGTTTTCAACAACAATAATAATAGGAGCAAAACAGCATATTGGAATTATTTTAAATTGAATTGTAATAATATTTCACAATCATATTACTGTACTGTGATAAGTACGAGACGTCTTTCAAAAACATTTTAAAAAAAAACTTTTAAACAGTAGTGTAATATTTTAAGAATTTTAGAGCAATTGTTTCCAAATTAGGAAACTGAGAAAGAACATTTACAAAAATCTGCTGAAGATCATATCTTTAACAAAATCAGCCACATAAGAAAAAAACTAAAAACAATCTGAAATAGAACTGTGATCTTACATAACAAATATTGTTAATCTTCCCTTTTAAAACTCCCATTCAGTGAGAAGAACGTTTTGAACTTGGGCACAAATGTACAGATCGTATTTGAGAAGATGACTGGTGAGAAAAAAGACCAGCTTTGATGTTGTTCAGTACTGAGAATGCTTCCGACATTATCTGTTAGACTCAACTCTTTTGAGTCATCAGATGAGACGCAATCGAATGTGTGTGAACCAAGCAAGTTCAAGATTAGGGAAACTAGGGGAGCTGAACTACAGTAGAAATGCTTCAGTCTAAATATGGACCAACAGCCGCTAACTGTGGGCAACTGAGTGCTAGCTGACAAGCCCTGTCATAGATCTTAAGACTGACATTCATGTTATCATGACCAGTACCATGTTGCTAAAAAAAAGCTAGTAGGTCTAACTTAAACATGTTACAGGTGTAAAGACACTAGTTATCAGATCTTCTTTCCCTGCTTCCTTCTCTCTCTCTCACCAAAATTAAACGTGGCCAGTGCCAGCCCAGAGAATGTGTGGAAGAGATGAACAACTGTTGCAGATTGATGAAATAAAAACCACCGGTACACCAGTGCAAAGGGATAACCTACAGGGAAAACAGAGAGAAACAGATTAGGCATATGATGTGACGCAATTGTACGGTCAAATGAACAGACATTATGGCACATAACAGTTGTCTTTTGAGGGTGTGACACAGTAGAGAAAGCTTTGACAGAGCACTTGACAGATAAGAACGTGAAAGGTCTGTTTTGAGGGTGTGGTCAGATACAAGTCAAACTAGAATATATATATATATATATATAAATTAAAAAAAAAGATTTCTGAAAGCACAACTGAACACACCTCTGAAATTCTCAATGGATGCCTACAGCAGTGTGATCTTAAGCAAAGAATTAGGGATGTACCAATAGTAAAATTATGGATGACACTGACAAGATGATTATTCCCATCTTATGACCATTAACTGACCAATATTAAGATTCTATGATATTTTACAACAAACACTAGAAATAAAAATAATGCGGTTTAACTAATAAAAAAATCAGCTTTAAGTGAGCATGTAAAAATATATAGTGCAACCCTGGTCTGGTTTTCAGTGTTCTCTGATGCCTTTTAACTTTAGTGTGTAGTAAGTCCTCATTCTCTGACGCATAGTTCTGCATTTCATTTTTGCCATACATGCTTGAATAAATATTTAAACAATTCAGGGTTTTATTCACTACAGATTTACAATAGAAATTGACTCATGCATCAAAGGCATCAAGCAAAAAAGCCCTGGAAAATCTACAACAAGTTTAGTAGGCATCCTTCTGAGGCTACATAGATCCATATGGTTAAAACTTCATTGACACTTTATTCATTACAGACGCATTGCAGACAGTAATGTAACAGTCTTTGCGCTGAAATCATGCAAATGATCAAACAGGCGCTACTGTCCAGGTTCAGCTGCCCCAGATTTCATTCATCTGGTTGAAGTGGTTAAGCAGTTCACTGCAATGCACCTGGCCAAAGTACAGAGAACCCTGCTATCTGCTCTCACACCCCTGTTATCAACGTGTAACCCTAGAAACCCAACTTCACTTGCATTGAAAGGTTACAACTAACTGTAGGTCAAACATCTAAAATTCAGTAGCAAAATAAAAAGAGCTGTCAGACTAAGGGCTAACGAGTCTGAAAGTACTTTTAGGCAGAACATTCACGGCAGTTGTGTGCAGTTAACCATGAAATCTCGCCTGACATGTAACTTAGGTCACCCTTGTCGACCTTTCATTTAGGCTAGAGTCGGCGTGAATGGAGAGAGTTGGTGTTGGTTCCGTGTTTTTAGTGTTGCTGGGAGCGTGGTGGACAGCTGTGTGACTTGAGCACACTTCTAGTGCAACTATACAACCACATAACTGTCCACGTTTTTAATGACTCCTAACGACACTCATTACAAACTCTCACCAGAGCCTAAAAGATCTCACTTGTGCGCCGTTCACTTACCTAATAAGATTGACAAAATCAATCGAACCGCCGGTTCGGATGAACCTAAATATTCAGCTAATTTCTCCATGAAGGGAGCCGCCATCTTTAGTGCGGGCGGAAGTAGCTGCGGTTGTGTTTCCGCGAGAGTGTGGCGCTCGTGAGAGCTCCGTCCTGCTACTCCTCCTCTCGCCTCCTCTCACACCATCACACTCAACCGCGCTCTCGGCCTTTACTCTCAGCTTTCGCAGACGCCTTGCGCAATATTTGTGGCATTTCAGGTCAAAGCACTAAAATGACCCGCGAAATGAGGATGCAATGGTTCATTCAGAATAACTGAAACATTATTGGTCCGTAAGTCTGGGTTTCGATCAAATAAAATAAACAAAAACAGCAAATGTAACGAATGATACATGTAATAAACTGAAGTTCTGATTATTGTTCATGTTGACATCACTTGTGCGCCGTTCACTTACCTAATAAGATTGACAAAATCAATCGAACCGCCGGTTCGGATGAACCTAAATATTCAGCTAATTTCTCCATGAAGGGAGCCGCCATCTTTAGTGCGGGCGGAAGTAGCTGCGGTTGTGTTTCCGCGAGAGTGTGGCGCTCGTGAGAGCTCCGTCCTGCTACTCCTCCTCTCACACCATCACACTCAACCGCGCTCTCGGCCTTTACTCTCAGCTTTCGCAGACGCCTTGCGCAATATTTGTGGCATTTCAGGCCAAAGCACTAAAATGACCCGCGAAATGAGGATGCAATGGTTCATTCAGAATAACTGAAACATTATTGGTCCGTAAGTCTGGGTTTCGATCAAATAAAATAAACAAAAACAGCAAATGTAACGAATGATACATGTAATAAACTGAAGTTCTGATTATTGTTCATGTTGACGGAAGATGGTCTAGCCGCGTCACAATGCTGCCCTCTGGTGTTTCTCAAAGCAAACAGGACTCACAATACTGTACAGTTTTGACAAACGTGTTCATAAAACACTAATCTCCTGTTGCACATTGTCTGTGTGCTTGCTTCGTCTCCTGCTCAAAGTTTTGCGTTGCTCAAAGTTTCATTTTAAGCGTCTACAAATAAGGAATGCCTTCAAAGTCTCTACTAAGCAGGCTGTATATTATTACGTTATTGTTATCATTTACTTTCATGTGTCTCGGTATTCATTTATTATTTATAAGTGTTTTGTATGCATGTAATAAAATCGTATTAAATGTATCAAATCATTATGTTTATGGATCTACTAGACTATTATTATACGAATGTCAATAATATGAGGCTGCCGCAGATTTAGTGAGTTCACATCTGATAAAACTTACTAATAAGCCCTTCATACTCCGCATGCCATTATCAGTTTATTATCTTTCTTTTTACTTAGTAAAGGTGGGCTTCCTTTTAAAGGAAACCTTCTGGACAAATAGTAAAAGAGCAAATTTCCGATCAGTCGTTCGTTCACGAAACGCCTTCTCTACTTTCCACAGGCATATCGATTATGGTGACTGCATAATTTGAGTCAAAATAAATTATAAACAAATTAAAAAGACTGTTATCTGAATTTAAATGACTATTTAATTTGTAAATGTTGGTGAATTTCATTCAATATTCTTCTTTATATATATTAAAAATAATGGAAAATATCTTTATATATTTCACATGGCGAAAAGCATTGTGGGTATGCAAATTTAGTCCCACCTCCAAGACCTTCTCTGCCCAAGTATGTCGCCCTCCACCGGCCTCTGTTAAATATGGTAGATTTGTTTCTGCTATTTCACTTGGCTGTTAAAAAGTTATAGATTGTAAGTGCAATTATGAGACAAAAATGATTTTAAAATGTTCAGAATTGCCCGCACTCCGTTAATACGCGTCAGTCCAGTTTCATTTGTGCTGAACACACCGCAGTATATTACCGAAAGCAGATGAATATATATTTTTATCACTTTTAAAATTGTACAAATACAAGCAGTGGGTACTTCAGGATGAACATACAAGAACTAGAAGAATAAATACAATTAAAAGATAGAAATAACCATAAAAAGTTAAATGACAACATGACAAAAGACATGTTTACACATTTAGATAATAGAAAACGTATAATGTCATAAGTGAAACAAATAAGAAAACATTTTCAAAACACAGCTGGGCATTATGTGATCTTTAGAAAAGGAACAGATTTCTCCACTGTGATCAAAGGACATTCATTTTCGCAGGCGTGTTGTTTTGAGCCAATCGAAAGCGCCGGGGGGCGGGGCTTATCAGCCAGCCTTGTATAAACTCGAGCAGACCGCGGCTCCTCGCTGTCTCGTCGTCTGGAGGTTGTTCGCATTTTCTTAAAGCTAGAATTTTCTGGTGAAAGCAACATTTTGCAGTCATGACTAGCAGGAAGTTTTTCGTCGGTGGCAACTGGAAACTGAACGGCGATAAAAAGAGCATCGAAGAGCTCGCCAATACATTGAATAACGCCAAACTCAACCCAGACACCGGTGCGTATTTCATTCAGGTTCCTCTTCGCGAGACACCATCACATGCCGCTGCAAACACGGGCCTTTTAGGGGTTGTGCAACTCACTGCATTGACCCTGAGATGACATTCACGCGGGACTTTTGACAGATCGCATCGCATTTGAGCTTATCATCTAAGGCTCTTTCTCATTGTATTTATCAGCCGAGTTTTCTACAATCAAAGCGGAGCTCTTAACCACCTGCATTAATCCGTAACCAGACAGAAGTGTCCTGCATTAATTGTCCTAAACCATTTCTTTTATGAACGCAGAGTCGATATAAAGCTCTATTTGCTTTATAAACGAGTCGACGGGCCGTCGTGTTGTGTAATGAATGAATGATGCTCATGTGTGGTGACTCAAGGGTTAAAGCTTGAAACGGCTGTGACTTCCAGCACGTAGCCACAATGTGTTCAAGGCTTGTCCAATCAAATGACGGGATGATCAATATGCTTGGTTTATCAACAAATCTGTGCTGTATTAGCTTATACCATTCATTAAAAAAAATATTAATATGAAAAAGAACGATATTGGCCACAGTAGGGCATTTTTGAGTGATTTTGCGTTCCGCGCTGTTTCCGCTCTTCACTGTCCGAGTTTTCTTACGGCTTTATTTGAGGCTCCAGACAGGGTTGGTCTGTCAGTCGCACAACAGTGGACTTTGAATTGGTAAAGTCCAAAAGTCACGCTGCTTGTGGCTGTCTGTTTCATTCATGTGCTGAAACCTGAGAGAAGCGCTTAACGCGCAAAGGTCACAGGTCAGACTGTCACATCTCGGACTAGCTTTTGCCTTTTTGCTTTACTTCATGGCCTCTGTAGTATGCTGTCATATGAGTAACTCTTCCTTTGACCTTTTATCAAGGGGGGTGAAGTGCCAGATGTGTGCCCTTTACAGTGGGTTTAAATTAGTCTGACCCAAGATAACTTTACAGTTTAAATGCCACCTCCAGTTGTAATACAGCAGCGCCTTAAAAGTTATTAACTCTGAAATAAAAACTGACATATGAAATAATAGTCAGGCCTGTTTTTAAATTTTTTTTTTTTTTAAATGGAACAGCTTAGGAAGTCAGGGAAGTTGTGGCCTAATGGTTAGAGAGTCGGACTCGTAACCCAAAGGTTGTGGATTCGAGTCTTGTACCGGCAGGGGTTGTAGGTGGGGGGGGGGAATGTACAGCACTCTCTCCCACCTTCAATACCACGACTGAGGTGCCCTTGAGCAAGGCACTGAACCCCACACTGCACCGCAGCAAAAAAATAGCTGCCCACTGGTCTGTGTGCACGCGCGAGCGAATGCAGAGCACTAATTCCAAGTATTCCACCATACTTGGCCACATGTCACTTCAAAATCTTATTGGATCCTTGTTTTGTTATCGTATTGTTCACACTTGAGGAGGGAAAGTTTTATTAAGTGGCCCAAACTGAGCAAAAATATGCTGTTTGGTGCTGATGTTGTTTATATGGCCAAAATGTAAGATGAGTTCTGACCGCTTTTAATGTAAATCTAATTTTTATAACCGACTACTTGCATAAAGTGTATATACAGTTGTGCTCAAAATTATTAATACTCTTGGGAAAATATGATCAAATTAGGCTGTGAAAATAAATCCGCATTGTTTATCCACTTGATCTTTCATTCAAAAGCCCAAACTGAGCAAAAATATGCTGTTTGGTGCTGATGTTGTTTATATGGCCAAAATGTAAGATGAGTTCTGACCGCTTTTAATGTAAATCTAATTTTTATAACCGACTACTTGCATAAAGTGTATATACAGTTGTGCTCAATTATTAATACTCTTGGGAAAATATGATCAAATTAGGCTGTGAAAATAAATCCGCATTGTTTATCCACGATCTTTCATTCAAAAAAAAAATATATATTTTTTTTTTATATTTGTGTAAAAAAGTACCCCAGGTGTACAATGAAATATACTGCTGGATCTTTAATGTTGTGGGCCTATATTTCTGCCGGAGATCCTGGATATCTTGTTCAGGTAGATGGCATAATGGATTCTATAAAATACCAATGGATAAATTAAAAATTGACCGTCCATGAAATCTTATAATGGGCCATGGTTGGATCTTCCAACAGGATAATGATCCACAAACAAACATCAAAATCAAAACAAAAATGGGTCCCTGAGAACAAAACCAAGCTTCTGCCCTGGCCGATCCAGTGCCCTGAGCTGAACCCTGTAGAAAATGAGTGTGGTGAACTGAAGAGGAGATGCATCAGCATGCAGCTGAAATCTGAAGGGTCTGGAGAGATTCTGTGTGAAGGAATGGTCTCTGATCTCCTGCCAGATGTTCTATAAACTCTTCAGGCATTATAGCTGAAGACTCACAGCTGTTCTCTTGGCAAAAGGAGGTTGCAAAAAGTATTGGATAAAAGGGTATGATTAATTGTGACCAATATGTATTAGAGAAAAACATTTAATTCATAATGAGATTTCTCTCTCATTTTAAATTCTTATTCTCCAATGAAAGGTTAGATCTTAGTAATTTTTTAAAAATAAAATATCTAAAGGATTGATTATACAGATTAATTTTCACAGCCGCCTTTGGTCATATTTACCAAGAGTAAGAATAATTGAGCACAACTGTACATATCAGCTGTAACTTAATATTCCCCAATATTATGTCTTTGTAAGATGATATTTAAATGCTTAATTTTATGATCGAATCTGCTCTTGGCAAAAGGAGGTTGCAAAAAGTATTGGATAAAAGGGTATGATTAATTGTGACCAATATGTATTAGAGAAAAACATTTAATTCATAATGAGATTTCTCTCTCATTTTAAATTCTTATTCTCCAATGAAAGGTTAGATCTTAGTAATTTTTTAAAAATAAAATATCTAAAGGATTGATTATACAGATTAATTTTCACAGCCGCCTTTGGTCATATTTACCAAGAGTAAGAATAATTGAGCACAACTGTACATATCAGCTGTAACTTAATATTCCCTTTGTAAGATGATATTTAAATGCTTAATTTTATGATCGAATCTGTTTTTTTTTTTTTTTTTGTTTGCTTTTACTTTGGGGGCAAAGCATATAATTCAATGCAATAGAATGATGATTGAAAGATAAACAAATTAATGTTATTCAAAAGCCTGTTCGGATTCAGATTTGATGCATTTTAACACCAATTTTTGCTTCAGTCCATTAAATGTTCATCTTGAAATGTCTGTAACAAATAAAAGTTATTGTTTGTTACTTTTATGAAATCAGGAAGACACATGTGCAAAAGGCCGTTGACTTACTTACTAAAAAAAGTTTGAACGATCAGTCAGACAACAGAAGGCATGTAAAAAAAAAATTTGTTTAGGTTTTAGAAATGTATCAAATATGATGCTGCAGGGATAAGAAAAAAGAATACTTGTCTCAACTTTGCTTTCGATAGTTTGCTTTTAGAAGAAACTTTTTTTTTTTTTTTTAATTCAAAAAAGGAACTTTTAATATTCTATCTATCTTGTGATGTTCTTAATCAAGATGTCCTGTCAGCAATCTGAATGGTTAAATATCTTCAATTTGTTCGTGACTTTGCTTTGGTGGTCTGTCATGTTAAAGAAAAACTGCAGTGACTACAATTCACAGTGATCTTTCCAGTGGTGGTTTAACGTGTTTGTTTATTTTGTTTCACAGAGGTTGTGTGTGGCGCTCCATCCATCTACCTCGACTATGCCAGGTCCAAGCTGAATCCTAACATTGATGTGGCTGCACAGAACTGCTACAAGGTTGCAAAGGGAGCCTTCACTGGAGAGATCAGGTACATGTCATCCAATTTACGGTTCACATAACATATGAACAAATAAGTCATGAAAATATAATCTTCAATTTATTCATGTTTTTGGTCTTCTTTTTTGTTTTGTTTTAAATGTATTTTGCTATTTGTACTCATTGTCACTATAAATGATTTGTCTTATTCTTTTAGCCCTGCGATGATTAAGGACTGTGGAATAAAATGGGTTATTCTGGGACACTCTGAGAGACGCCATGTGTTTGGAGAGAGTGATGAGGTAACTCTGTGCTTTAACGCGTTATATGAAACCCAATTTTCATTCTAGAATAAATCAGCACCTGTGGTGGAGTGAATATAGTCCTCCATGGTTTTTTTCTTGTGTTCATGAGCAATTTATTTATTTTACATATTTCATCATTTAACAAAAGATTAATTTAATTATGCTTTTGAGATGCATTAATTGTTTAAAGTGTATTTGATGTCAGTGTTGAGTCTGGAAAAACTACACTGAAACTGAGTTTAGATTAGTTAAAAACTATAAACACTGTTTTTTTTGGGTTCACAATAATCGCCCCCCTTGGTGAACCACTGACATTTCTAAACATTTCAAAACTGTTATGATGTAACAATGCATCATTTATCATGTGACTTTAGCTGTTGGCTGATTTGCAAAGGTTTCGAAGTTTCAGAAAGCAGTGCTTCCAGAGCACCCATCACTGTTTTATACAGGCAATAAATATTAGAGCTCATTATGCATAAATAAATGCACATGTACATTAATGAGGAAAAAAAATTAACTTAAATGATTTTAGCAAATGGCTGCAATATAACAAAGAGTGAAAAATTTAAGGGGGTCTGAATACTTTCCGTACCCACTGTATGTCTGTAATATGTTTGATTAGTACAAAACACTTAATTTAACATGTTAAATTTTGCTGTTTTGTTTGCTTTTTTAATCAAGCTTAAAACGGGTCATCCTTTAAAGGAAACCTACTGGACAAATACTAAAAGAGTGAATTTCCAGCTAGAGCAGCTTCCTCATTCATGGTGAATGAAGAACTTTAAGGAGGTTGTGGTTGAAGTAATGTGACCAACAATGTTGCATACTACTGTTTCATATGTGAAGCATGGACTAATGCCTACTGAGTCACATATTATTGTTAAAAAAATAGTAGGCAGCACACAATACTGTGTCCAGTAAAAAAAAATTGTGGAATTTCATATATATATATATATATATATATATATTAATAATAACAATCTTTCTTTTAACAGTTATGAATGGGGTTTTCTTTTTAAGTAAATCCACTAGACAAATACTAAAAGAGTAAATAACCAGTTAGTTATTGTGCAGTGAACCTCTCCCATCATTTTCAGCGAGCGTCTCACTCATGGTGACTAAGAAAAAAAATGTATAGTAACATTTGAAACACTTGAAGACTGAAAGTGATGTATAAGGCATTATGGGTATGTCTGTCAGTTCTTTCACCCCTGGTCTACTAGCCATACTATCCCCAGATGGCATAATTTAGGCTAGTTACAATATATGAATGTGGTGCACAGAGCTGTTTAAAAGGTTAATATCAGTTTTAAAAAAAGTGAGTGGTTTCTATATGAATCTTTCTGTTCTTTAACAGTCATGAAGGGGTTTCCTTTTAAAGGAAACCTACTGAACAAATACTAAGAGACCATTTCTAACTATTAGCTATTGTTCATGTCAACTTCTGACTTTGAGTGAGTACCTCATTGGTGGTGACTGAAACAATGACCTTAACCGTGAAAGGCATTATGGGTATGCAAATGAGGTATCTAATTTGGGTGGTGCTATGCATTCATAACACGCATTCCAACATGATACCAGTTTAGTTTATCGCTATAAACAACTGGTGAAGCTGCTTACGTTAGGGCACTTAGGAAAGAATTTGCTTGACTTTTCAGAAGATTTAGACATTTCCCAAGCAACAACAAATCCAAATATCATCAACAATACAAATATCTGATTTGTGCTGCTATATATATATATATATATATATATATAAAAATAATCTTTGGTCAAAATGTCACTGTTTGTGGTCCACCATTTCAGGATCTGTCACTGGAGGGACCTGCAAGGAACTTGCTTCTCAGAAAGACGTGGACGGCTTCCTGGTGGGCGGCGCTTCCTTGAAACCAGAGTTTATCGAGATTATTAATGCAAAAGCCTAAAGAGATGAAGCCATCATCTACCTAGACTCTAAGGCTTAGGTCTGCTCCCAAATCCTGCTCTTCTTTAGAAAGTGTTATTGTGGTTTTGTTTCATTTTTGTATTATTATAAAGGGACAGATAAGACACATACTGAACACTCAAAGGTTTTATTCCACTGAAACGCGTGCAACCGAGTGTTATTAGCCCTCCTACTAGTGTAGTGAACTACAGGACTGTAATGAGAACCATCATGGGGCTTAGAGCCCATGCCTTTACTTGAATAATGTTTACCAACATTCTTGTGTACAGTGTCAAAAATCTAGGATAAAGTCAATCAACCTTGGAGTCTTTTGAATTCAAGTGAAACTTTCCATGAATGATGTTTTCCTGTCCCTCAAAGAGTTTCTCTGAGGGGTCTATCCTGAAGGTGCTCGTATGTAATAGCCAATGCCATTTGGTATAAAGGGTAAGACAGAAATATTCTAATAAATGTTTCAGAAGTGTAGACCTATAACTTTGCTGTTGTCAAGTTATCGTGCTTCTGCATAATTTAATTTTTGTAACTACACACACACAAACAAAACATTCATTTTTAAAGAAGTCTCCTATGCTCAACAAATCTGCATTTATTTGATCAAATACCATTATTTTCCTATTATTACAAACTTAAAGTAACGGCTTTCTATTTCAAAATATATTATACACCATAATTTATGACATCTGAATTTTCAGCAGCCACTACTCCAAATTAAAACATTTAAATCTTGACCCACTTTGAACAGTAGTGTACTGTTTACATGAAATTTAGTGTAGTGTAACTTTACATGAAATTACCTACAGATTATTACTAGGTTCTAAAGTAGCCTACTTCAAAGAATCTTCTTTCCTGTATTAATATTCATGCATTGACGCATTATATTGCGCAAGTTACAGTGAGATTGGAATCGGTGAAAAATCTCGAGTTTGTAAAACACGTGTTAAATTCTATATTTAAGCTAAAAAATAAAATAACTAAGCAGCAGAGCTGGGAGCACACTGTATATATAAGCCTCTGTAACTCTGGTCATATTTGGCAGATTAATAGTTTCAACTAGTATAAAAAAAAAACACCTTTATTTTTCTCTGAAGTAGGTACATTATGTACAGATCAGCATCTACAAATGGCAGTATTTTCTTTGTGAACCCCACTGTATAATAACACATGGAGCGCTAGCTAGGGCAGAGACATTAGTTCTTTCAGAGATGGAGCTGTAAAAGAAGAAACAGATGCAAGTACAGTCCTATCAAAATACTTACTGCCAAGCACTGACTACATATATACCAATCACAACATTGCATTACAGAACATAATAGAGGAAAGAAGAGGGAGACAAGAGAAACATGCGGAAACAAACAGATTGCTGGAAAAAATTAAAGATGAGACAAAGCAACAAAAAAAAAATCTATGGATAAAGTTTAAATGTAAGAACACTTGGAGGCAAATCTAAACAAACAATATGAACGGCGGGAAAAAAGCAAAGAGCTGATGCAAAGGAAAGAAGTTAAAGAAATTAGATGTGCAAAGGGAGAGGCAACATTTGAAGAGAGGGATGACTGTTAGTAATACTGCTGTTAAAATAATATGCATCAACTACAACAGCAAGGGCTAAAAATACATTTCATGAAAGAAAAATTAACAGTGGCATCATTTGAGACAATCAACATTGCTTTGGACAATCCTTAAGTAATAGGCATCATGGGCAGCCAATCAACGTAACCATTAGAAAATGCAGTGAGCTTTGAAGACCTGAGAGGAATTATTGTAAGGATTTATCTAACCTGCTGCTTGGACATCTAGAGTTTACATGAGTAGAACATTTCTGATCATCTGTATGTCCAGGTATGTCCAATATGCAATTCTACAGCTTATATTAAACCCCAAAGTTAGACATCAGAAACCTCAAGTCTATAAACAAAACACCAAACAATACAGCAGCAAACAGTAATAAAAAAAAAGAAAAGAATGTGCTTTGCCACAATTCTGTCTCTGAGCTCTTCAGGCAGTTCCTTTGACCTCATGATTCTCATTTGCTCTGACATGCACTGTGAGCTGTAAGGTCTTATATAGACAGGTGTGTGGCTTTCCTAATCAAGTCCAGTCAGTATAATCAAACACAGCTGGACTCAAATGAGGGTGTAGAACCATCTCAAGGATGATCGGAAGAAATGGACAGCACCTGAGTTAAATATTTGAGTGTCACAGCAAAGGGTCTGAATACTTAGGATCATGTGATATTTCAGTTTTTCTTTTTTAATAAATCTGCATAAATGTCAACAATTCTGTGTTTTTCTGTCAATATGGGGTGCTGTGTGTACATTAATGAGGAAAAAAAATTAACTTAAATGATTTTAGCAAATGGCTGCAATATAACAAAGAGTGAAAAATTTAAGGGGGTCTGAATACTTTCCGTACCCACTGTATGTCTGTAATATGTTTGATTAGTACAAAACACTTAATTTAACATGTTAAATTTTGCTGTTTTGTTTGCTTTTTTAATCAAGCTTAAAACGGGTCATCCTTTAAAGGAAACCTACTGGACAAATACTAAAAGAGTGAATTTCCAGCTAGAGCAGCTTCCTCATTCATGGTGAATGAAGAACTTTAAGGAGGTTGTGGTTGAAGTAATGTGACCAACAATGTTGCATACTACTGTTTCATATGTGAAGCATGGACTAATGCCTACTGAGTCACATATTATTGTTAAAAAAATAGTAGGCAGCACACAATACTGTGTCCAGTAAAAAAAAATTGTGGAATTTCATATATATATATATATATATATATATATTAATAATAACAATCTTTCTTTTAACAGTTATGAATGGGGTTTTCTTTTTAAGTAAATCCACTAGACAAATACTAAAAGAGTAAATAACCAGTTAGTTATTGTGCAGTGAACCTCTCCCATCATTTTCAGCGAGCGTCTCACTCATGGTGACTAAGAAAAAAAATGTATAGTAACATTTGAAACACTTGAAGACTGAAAGTGATGTATAAGGCATTATGGGTATGTCTGTCAGTTCTTTCACCCCTGGTCTACTAGCCATACTATCCCCAGATGGCATAATTTAGGCTAGTTACAATATATGAATGTGGTGCACAGAGCTGTTTAAAAGGTTAATATCAGTTTTAAAAAAAGTGAGTGGTTTCTATATGAATCTTTCTGTTCTTTAACAGTCATGAAGGGGTTTCCTTTTAAAGGAAACCTACTGAACAAATACTAAGAGACCATTTCTAACTATTAGCTATTGTTCATGTCAACTTCTGACTTTGAGTGAGTACCTCATTGGTGGTGACTGAAACAATGACCTTAACCGTGAAAGGCATTATGGGTATGCAAATGAGGTATCTAATTTGGGTGGTGCTATGCATTCATAACACGCATTCCAACATGATACCAGTTTAGTTTATCGCTATAAACAACTGGTGAAGCTGCTTACGTTAGGGCACTTAGGAAAGAATTTGCTTGACTTTTCAGAAGATTTAGACATTTCCCAAGCAACAACAAATCCAAATATCATCAACAATACAAATATCTGATTTGTGCTGCTATATATATATATATATATATATATATAAAAATAATCTTTGGTCAAAATGTCACTGTTTGTGGTCCACCATTTCAGGATCTGTCACTGGAGGGACCTGCAAGGAACTTGCTTCTCAGAAAGACGTGGACGGCTTCCTGGTGGGCGGCGCTTCCTTGAAACCAGAGTTTATCGAGATTATTAATGCAAAAGCCTAAAGAGATGAAGCCATCATCTACCTAAACCCTAAGGCTTAGGTCTGCTCCCAAATCCTGCTCTTCTTTAGAAAGTGTTATTGTGGTTTTGTTTCATTTTTGTATTATTATAAAGGGACAGATAAGACACATACTGAACACTCAAAGGTTTTATTCCACTGAAACGCGTGCAACCGAGTGTTATTAGCCCTCCTACTAGTGTAGTGAACTACAGGACTGTAATGAGAACCATCATGGGGCTTAGAGCCCATGCCTTTACTTGAATAATGTTTACCAACATTCTTGTGTACAGTGTCAAAAATCTAGGATAAAGTCAATCAACCTTGGAGTCTTTTGAATTCAAGTGAAACTTTCCATGAATGATGTTTTCCTGTCCCTCAAAGAGTTTCTCTGAGGGGTCTATCCTGAAGGTGCTCGTATGTAATAGCCAATGCCATTTGGTATAAAGGGTAAGACAGAAATATTCTAATAAATGTTTCAGAAGTGTAGACCTATAACTTTGCTGTTGTCAAGTTATCGTGCTTCTGCATAATTTAATTTTTGTAACTACACACACACAAACAAAACATTCATTTTTAAAGAAGTCTCCTATGCTCAACAAATCTGCATTTATTTGATCAAATACCATTATTTTCCTATTATTACAAACTTAAAGTAACGGCTTTCTATTTCAAAATATATTATACACCATAATTTGACATCTGAATTTTCAGCAGCCACTACTCCAAATTAAAACATTTAAATCTTGACCCACTTTGAACAGTAGTGTACTGTTTACATGAAATTTAGTGTAGTGTAACTTTACATGAAATTACCTACAGATTATTACTAGGTTCTAAAGTAGCCTACTTCAAAGAATCTTCTTTCCTGTATTAATATTCATGCATTGACGCATTATATTGCGCAAGTTACAGTGAGATTGGAATCGGTGAAAAATCTCGAGTTTGTAAAACACGTGTTAAATTCTATATTTAAGCTAAAAAATAAAATAACTAAGCAGCAGACCTGGGAGCACACTGTATATATAAGCCTCTGTAACTCTGGTCATATTTGGCAGATTAATAGTTTCAACTAGTATAAAAAAAAAACACCTTTATTTTTCTCTGAAGTAGGTACATTATGTACAGATCAGCATCTACAAATGGCAGTATTTTCTTTGTGAACCCCACTGTATAATAACACATGGAGCGCTAGCTAGGGCAGAGACATTAGTTCTTTCAGAGATGGAGCTGTAAAAGAAGAAACAGATGCAAGTACAGTCCTATCAAAATACTTACTGCCAAGCACTGACTACATATATACCAATCACAACATTGCATTACAGAACATAATAGAGGAAAGAAGAGGGAGACAAGAGAAACATGCGGAAACAAACAGATTGCTGGAAAAAATTAAAGATGAGACAAAGCAACAAAAAAAAAATCTATGGATAAAGTTTAAATGTAAGAACACTTGGAGGCAAATCTAAACAAACAATATGAACGGCGGGAAAAAAGCAAAGAGCTGATGCAAAGGAAAGAAGTTAAAGAAATTAGATGTGCAAAGGGAGAGGCAACATTTGAAGAGAGGGATGACTGTTAGTAATACTGCTGTTAAAATAATATGCATCAACTACAACAGCAAGGGCTAAAAATACATTTCATGAAAGAAAAATTAACAGTGGCATCATTTGAGACAATCAACATTGCTTTGGACAATCCTTAAGTAATAGGCATCATGGGCAGCCAATCAACGTAACCATTAGAAAATGCAGTGAGCTTTGAAGACCTGAGAGGAATTATTGTAAGGATTTATCTAACCTGCTGCTTGGACATCTAGAGTTTACATGAGTAGAACATTTCTGATCATCTGTATGTCCAGGTATGTCCAATATGCAATTCTACAGCTTATATTAAACCCCAAAGTTAGACATCAGAAACCTCAAGTCTATAAACAAAACACCAAACAATACAGCAGCAAACAGTAATAAAAAAAAAGAAAAGAAAAAAAACAAAAAACCAACACATTAAAATAGTTAGAGGAAAAAAAGCAATGTTAAGACAAATGACACACCTGAACATACAGCAGCAATTCTACTAAACACTATATGAAGCAATTCCTAAAATAAAACCCATACATCATCGGTGGTTTTGTTATGTTACATAAAGATTTTGTGATTGGCATCAAGAAAAACATTGCAAATTGAAATCACCAGGCTCTCCTCAAAATGACAAATGCATCAGACAACAACAGGCACAATGAAGAATCTGAATTGGTTGATGTCTGGATGTCTCAATGCCCAATTTCCAGTGTGCCTCTGGATTAGTTTTGCCCTCATCTTTTCATTTCTTGCTTTGCTCCAAATATGCATGACTGCAAGAAGAGAGAGAGAATCTGGTAATGAAGGAGTGCAGGAGGAGAGAGGAGAACAAGGGGTGGGAGGGGTTGAAGGTTGAGGAGAGGAGAGCAAAGTCAGTGTGACAACCAGTAGCAAGAAATTAATTTACAATATACAACCAAATAAAAGATGAAGCTCTAAGGTCAACAAAATGAGCTAAAAAAAAAATTTGATTGATTACCACAATTTCCCACCTTCGATACATTGCAGTCATTCAGTAATTATTTTACTAAGTCACATCAGTTAAGACAAGTTGCAAATGAAAGGAATCATTATCTTGGTGCTTTTGCTTAAGCCAAATCTTTCTCTTATTGTTGGATACTTTTGTGCGAAAGTTTTTTACAGGTATGAGAATAAGAAAAACTGAATTGGGAAATGAGGAAGATGATAAACAAAGCTAAGATGACTTAAAGTAAATAAATATGATAAAAATTACTTGGGAATATTAAGCAATGATCAACAAGGGAAAGATTTGGCATATCAATCCATGAATCCCTGACTTCATGAGTGTGGATTGGATGTTTTACTTTCTAACATGTAATTTATTTAATGTCTAGGGGAACAAGAAATTTTAGAATTATTTTAAACTCTAAAATGTCAGTTATTTGCACTAAACCGCATATCAGTGTGAACATGCTCACCACCCAAAAATATAATATTTAAACTTTTAAAACTGCCAGCAAAATAACTATAGCTCAAAATGACACTTACCATTGTACAAACAAATAAAATGAATTATGAAATCAAAGTAACTAAGGAAAAAGAAATAAATTTCACTTTGCACATTATTTACATGAGCACATATGTACAAATTTCTCCAATGAGGTGTTAGGGGAGCTTTCTGCTTATAGTGGCCCTGAGCACATCTTGCTAAAGCACACATATTTCAGACCCAAGCCTTATCCATGCTAGATCTTAATAACATTAAATAAACCTGATTATGTCAACTGGAAATGCTGCTGCACATTCTCCTCATTCATTTACAATTAAATTGATGTATGAGTGTCAACTCCAATTTTAACGCAGTCCATTATAAATCAAGGTGAATTAGATGAACTTTGTAATACTTTGAATTGGTACAACTTTTTTACTACAATGCTTCAATCATTGGCAAGATTAAGACCATGATACCATATCAATCTCTGAGATTTAATACAGTATCACAGTAATATCCATGTAAAATGAGCAGATCTTTTTGATTTTTGGTGTCAATCTTGCAGATAAGGGATGCAACAGGGTTCAGTATTAGGCCCATTTTAAAATGAGAAATTATACATTCACAACCTGCCAGAAGGGTTAACAGCTACCAAGCCAAGCATGTTGTTCAACAGTGGTAACACCTCAACCCAAGCTGAATGAAGATCCACCACACTTTTCAAAGCATCAAGTCCTTCTTACCAGCCATTACCAGTAGACGTGGCCAAAGCTTAAGGAGCCATACAAACCCATGTGTTTCCAAACCCCAGCCAGACAGTGGATGCCCTTGCAGGAGTGAGGTGACTAGTAAAGATCACCATCTGGAGAGAACACAAGAGACAGCCTCCAACTTGCTGTGAAGAAAAACTGAGCTTACTCTCCATTCCAAATGACTTTTTCTTCGCCGACTGACTGCATGTTAGGCGTAGGAAACTTCTATGCTGGGCGATGTTTTGTAGAGGACTTTGCTCTTCAGAGGCCGGTGGTCAAACCTATTGGTGAATGAATTCCGTAAGTGGACTTGGATGACTTTTAAAATGGTTGGCCCTATTCAGATCACAGCTGGGGTATAAGTGAAAGAGAAGATTGAGTCACTGAGCTGTGCTTCCTGGGTGTCGAGGAACAATTAGGAGGGTATGTATAACTAATGAAGGCCAGCTTCTTGACTGTTGATGATGTGCAGGTGAGGGAGAAGAGACTGTGTGGGAAGGGGGTGGAACTTATGATGCAAAACGGGGCCTAATCTGCATTTCTTCAGGTGGTTGTCTTGTTATAGCTCAGTCCAAATATTACATGCTATCAGCATTAGGATCTTAGAGATGAAGGGAGCCAGGAGATCTAACAGAACACCTCCACCACTGACTCACTGAAGACATCTCAGGCAAAGAGAAAGATAGGGAATACAAACCATCCTCTTCTTGCTTGAAGGATTGCACTATAGCTCACTTGGCTTTAAAGTCCATTAATGATGACCAAAACCTTGCAGAAGGAGCCTTCATATAGACTTGATGAGCTGGTACGCTGTTGGTGGAAACTGGCTCACAATATATTCTGGATTAACCATGATGTTTCAGGTCTTGAGCTTTGCGGCTGTTTGCTTGAGAGGAGAGAAACATGAGAACACACAACACTGTTAGCTTAAATGCTTTTTTGAGCTCTGTGATGTGGGACCTGACATGACCTGCTGACCCTACCCCATCAGATCTTTGCCTTTTTTCCTATTGGTGTAAGGGATAGTGTGCAAATTGATTGCCTGATACTTCACTAAATGGGCTGTGTGAATAGGTTATACTGGGTCTTGAATATAGCACCTAAGTCCCTGTGTGTGGATGTGTAATCCGTCAGAAAGTCCATCACTCTACAAGAGTTAAAAATTCTGAGATATCTTTCATAAATACGATCAGCACTAGACTCTGAGTGTGTCTATGTAGATATCTGGTCCCTTATCTACAGTCTTTTTAAGCTCTATAAATGAAAATTCTCTGGTCACTCCCCAACCTTTCCCCATATTACGAGGTTGTAAGACTGGCTGAGCTGACTTTACAGTCTATTTTGCTTGGGTCAGAGGGAGTGAATGTAACTCCAAGCTCTGTTAGAAATACTAAACATGAGTCTAAATCTGGGAAGGCCAAGCTGGACTGCACATACTCCACCGGCACAGAGGGCCTGAACCTGTAACAGAATGGAAAAAAAAAAAACTTTAGACTTCAATTATCAATAGCATAATTTTTGTAAGCAATCTGCCTGGCATCTGCACTCACGTTTTAATAATGGCCCTCAGCGCTAGATTTCTTTCACGCTCCACAAACTTATCAATAAGGTAAGCAGCCATACGTGGAGCATTCTGATAGAGTCTGAAGAACCGGTGGAAGTTTCCAAGCGCCCAGGCAGTACGGAGCTCAAGAGCATGAGCTACACACGGATCAGCACGGAGCTCAGGGGTCAGGTACACAAGCTCGGTCGTCAGGTCTAAGAAAAAATTAGCGAAGGCATTAAACACTTCATGAGAGATTGAGAAACAATGAAATGGACTGCAAAATAGTGAGAGTAAAAACTTGACTGTTCATTTAACAAAAAGGCAATGTTTACCTCCAGAATTCTTAGTAAAGATGTAGTAGATAAGTCTGTAGGAAGTGAATTCTCCCACGTTGTCCGATGGGCAGTCTTTATACAGCGCCTTCAGCTGGGTCTGGCACTGGTTGAACTCCTCGTGGTCACCCTGATAACAGTTGAAATGTTGGTTTAGTCCAAATGAAAGAAAAATGCCTTTTAATCGGAGCTAACTTTACATGCACATACCTTTTCCAGAGCAATGCGAGCATGTGTCTCATACACCTCCACAGTGAAGTCTGTACGCACACCTTGAACCTGAATGACAAGAATTCAAAATAAGACACTAAAAGATAAAAATGTGAAGCAGAAAAGTGGTACTACTAAGTGTTACTCACAGTGAGATCCTGTCGTATTGACTTCATTTGTTCACATGCGTACAAGTAATCCTGATTGGATTTCCAATGAGTTTGAACCGCAATCAGGGACTTTCGCAACACCTAAAACACAACAGAAGATTCAATACAAATCTTCTAATAAATCTGCTTAATTTACCAACTACATACCACTTTTGAGTACAACCCACAAATAACACAAAGCATCCTGTGTTGACCACACAATTATAACCATTAAAGGGGTCTTATTATGCTCTTTTACAAAGTCTTGATTTTGTTTTGGGGTGTACTAGAACATGCTCTCATGCTTGGTGGTTAAAAAAAATTCATTATTTTTCACATAAATTACATTACAATACCTTTCTCCCCAGCCTGGCACAAACGGCTCAATTAGTTCCGGGTTTGATGAAGGCCCGCCTTCCGAAAAACAAAATGTAACGTGATTGGTTAGCTGTCCCAGTGCTTCGTGATTGGCGAACAGCTTTGACGGTGTTTCAGTACTGCCCCGCCCCTTGCCAAAGCAACCAGTTCCGTCTGCTCCGGTTAAGGATGGCATCAATTATTGCCATATCAATTTGAGCCGGATTCAGATCCCAAGAATATTGAACAAGAGGATGACAAAGAACCTTCGCACGCACGGATATTGCAAGACATATTAGAGTGGTAACATTGTTGTTGTTTTTTTGGCTAAATCACGTTTTAGATAGGATGTCAACAACCGCTTAAAAATAACTGCATTTACTAAGTACAGATAAGCGCATATGTATTATGTTTATTGTTCTTTAATTCTAACATTATAACATGAATTGAAGTGAAACTGTTATACAGTTTATTACTATTTATTTATACCATAGTCCAGTGTTTCCCACAGATTGGACTCTCTATTTGTGGCGGCATATATGCAAATTCATTCTCTGCCAGCAGGATGCGCTGTTGGAGTGGTAGAGATCGAGGTTTCCCTGGTAACGCTGTACACAAAGCAGCGCTCCGCTCACAAATGCTGCTTTACCAGACATTACATGCAAGATAAAATGAAAATGACATAAAAAATGTTCTGAAGACGGTCGGTTTCCTTCAGAAATATAGTGATATAAAAACACCCGCACTCAATGTATGGGAAACATTGTAGTCTCAAAATTGAATGGTAAATTCTGCAGATTATCATTCTCCAGTATTGCACTGTCAGCAATTTATAAAAACGTTTTCATAATTGTAACATACATATTTACATACATAATTATTCAGGTGCATGTGTAATAACTTGCGAAACTTGACGCTTAGCAGCATTTTTTCGTCATCTTGTCTGATGCACTCAACCAAGCGTTCTAACCAGACCTCGCCCTTCCCCACCCCGCAACCATTAGAATTTCGTAGGTGGGAATTATTTTAATGATATTCTAGTGGGCCGATTTGTGACATCACAAAACCCGGAAAACAATGCTGTAGTCCAAACGAGCCATTCGTTGTAGTTCTTGAAAAGCGATAAAAAAAAAAAAAGAAATATCTCCCTTTGGAGTCGACTTTGAGATTTGTAACTTTGTAGATCTTTGTGACGAGTGGGGGCGGGGCCGAGAGCCGTGGGAATGGAGCGAGGCCGGTGGAGTAATTGATAACGAGCGACACCTGCACCACTCACCGGTCTCAAGTCTCACGGAGGAGCTCCGGAAGGATAAAAGTGAGGAGTGACGACAGTGAAAGAGGAGAGAAGTCCAGGCCTGGACTACACACTAACTAAAATTCAAAAAGAGAAAAAGCATAATAGGACCCCTTTAAACAAATCTCTAAAATAAGCAACACTTTGAGAAACACTCACAGATACAGGTCTGACAGTTGCAGGGTCAGGGGCACAGGTCAGGCGCAGGTAGTTTTTGGTGATGTCCTGACAGGTGCCGACTATGGGGCAATCATCCCAACTCAGTCCCTCTTGGGCGCCATTGGGGAGGTCAAAAACATTGATGTTTAACACTAGGGGCTCAGTGCGTAGTTTAGTGTGGAAGCGTGCTGCACGGCTCTGCTTCTTCGCTTCACGATTTGGGTCATGAAAGTCAAGCCCTGCGTTACCACCTTTCCGCTTTTTACCAATACCGCTGGAGAGGTCTTCCATATTCCTGATGGAAGTCAGAAAAGAAGGTTAATTAGGCCACTAGAAATGTTTAAAAGGGGTCATGAATTGATAAATCAACCTTTACTTGAACTTTTGATATATAAGAGGTAGGGTTGGGCCGACAGACGATGCCATCGTCCGTCGCCGATGGCTGACAGACATCACGATGTTGAGCCGGCATCCTGACCCCCCCCCCCCCCATCCCCCCCCCCTCCACTCTC